CAGGGATGTCCACCAAGGTTTCACACACCTGCCTTTTCACATGCAGGGAGTTCTTCGGTGGTTCAAGGAATGGCAGGGGCCTGGCTGTGTTCCCTTCAGAGGCCCCAGGACCTCCGTGGAGACTCTCAGAAGCCATCCTTGCTAATGGAAGGCCTCGGAGGCCCATTTGGCTGTGAGGTTCCTTGAGGATTCACAAGCACCAAGCTCAGAAAGACTGCTTGGAAGAGGCTTATATTGAGAGTGCACACTTCCACGGTGACAGATGACATGACACAACTGGGCCCACCCAGGAGTCCTCAATAAAGGATGCACTTCAAACAAAGGTGGGCTGCCTCCAAAGCCCTAGAGATCAAGGTCCATCAGTCCACCCACCCAATGGAATACTAAGCAGCCACACAAAAAATGACTCAGATCCCTACACCAAGTTGTCTAAATGTGAGGTCTAGTGACCAAAGCAAGATGTAAAACTCTCTACCTCTCCTCCTCCTCTCTACTCTGCACATGAATGGAGGAGATCTGCAGCTAACACCTCCCATCTCTCACTCCATCCCCCAGAGAGCTAGTCACCATGTTTCCTAGAGGGCAGAGAAGTAGGGGAAATGCCGAAGGCCTCCTAGATCTTGAATTGCCTGCTGCCAGGTGTGGCAGGTACTCGTGCCACCTCTCAGGCCCTTTTCTGGACTTCTGTCCCAGGTGGGAAACCAGCAGAATGGGGACAAAGAAAGGTGAGCAGATCCATGCTTCCCTCTCTCTGGTCCAAAGCCTCCTCGTAGATCTGGGAGTGGGGATCAGGCAAGCCCTGTCCTGAGCTGTGAGCCTGGCTGTCTCCATTTCCAGGTGCCATTTTGGCCTTAACCTAAGCCAACTGCTCCAATTCAGGCATTACCAGAGAGCTGTAAAAAAATATAAGTTAAAGTAATGTGGCAGACAGACTATAGGAATGACCCTCAATGATCCCTGGCTCCTGGCAGTTGAGCACATGTGTAATCTTCTCCCATTGAATGTAGAGCAAGATTGCACGGCCAGACACAGCCAAGTCTCAGCCTCTCTGCGCCTTTGGCCACATGGTCTCTCTGAACTTCTGCTTTAGGCTCCTCTGAGCCCCTGGTAGGAGGTGGTGACCATACTGTTTGCATACTAAACATCCAACAGAAAGTGATTAGCTACTTCGTGTCCCAATTCCAAATTTCCTGAGGAGAGAATCTGAGTGGTCAGATGAACACTCATGTTCTCCTGGGGAGAGGGAAGCAGTGTCCCCTAATATAAACTGAACCATTGGGACTACACCAGGAAGGGGCAGGACAGATTGCAAAGATGAGAGGGGACACCAAAAGGTGTCTATTCCAAGTCCATTCCTTCTTTTTATTAAGAGATAGCAAGGAAATCTACAACAATGTCCAAGAAACTTTTAGAGACTTTAGTCAAGAGATTGTGTTTGCCACAAGCCCTGGAAATCACTAGAAATCTCTCATTTGGAGAGAAATTTAGCTATTTTAGTTAGATGTACTCATCTTTTCTCCTTGATACCTGATCCATATGGGGTTGCTGCTGTCCTACTGGGCATAAAATTAAAGGTAAAAGGGTGGCGCTGCCCAGTGATACTCTGCCTCAACCTAGCAAGATTCATGGAGCCATGGGATTTGGTACTTACCACGCCAGTCAGTGGACCAGGGTGCATGATAGCCATAACCTAACTCAGGGAAGAGAATGTGCCCTCCCTGCTCAAAGTAATGGCTACAAAGTACAGGCCCAAGTCCAAGGCAAACTCTATATCTCATACACTGATGCTAAAGATGAAACAGACCGTTCAACTTCAATTATACCTTACTTAGTAGAAACATTACCTCCAATTAGCATAATTATCTAATGAACATTCAAAGGGGAAAAACTAATTACTAGAATCATAGGCTCTCTGGGTTGGAAGGAAACTCATGGGTCAGTATAAATGCCTGTCCCCTCCCCCCCCAGCTAACCTCCACGGGTACCAAGTTCCCCTTTACCACGCCCCTACCAGGTAGATGCCAATTCTGCTTCACATCTCCATTGAAGAGCACTTTCAATTTCTGGAAAACTACAGTTATCAGGAAATCTTGACTGGAATAAGACTAAAAATTGGCCTCCTCATAACTTCTACCAATTGGTACACATTTGCCCAAATTTTACATCTGAGCTTTATAAAAAAATAAAAAATAAATAAATAAAACTTTCTTTGGCATAGCAAGAAGAAGTATCTTCTCATATTTGAAATATAAGCTATGCCCAGTGGGAGGTACATGGAGTTGCCCACTCAACAGACATTCTCACACCTCCTCCTTCTGGACCATGAGATCACCAATTTTGCTTCATTATGACCTGGACAGCAATATGCTCAAGGAACGACATCCCTTCCCCAGCCACAGAGATGAGGTCTGGTCAGTTTTTGAAACTGAAGGACCAAAGGGATGGCCACATGACACAACCTGGCCAATGAGATATAAGGGAAGCCTGTTAGGAAACTTCTGGAAAAGTTTTTGCTTCGTGACAGAAGTGTGTAATGTGTTTGAGAAGAGCTCCCTGGCTCTACCCTGCCCACTTCTCCCTGCCTTGAACGTGCTTGTGTGAAGTGTGGTACTTGGAACAATGGCAATCATTTTAGTGCCATGAGGTGGCAAACTTAAGGATGAGAAGCCAATTTGCCAAGGATGCATAACATAAACCTAGAAGGAGCCTGGGCCTTGGATGATGTCACTAAGCCCCTGCTGCTCATCCCAGAGTGGCCTACCTCCACACATCTGGTTTTATGAGATAATCACATTTTTATCACCCAACCACTGCTAGTTGAGCTTTCTGTAAGTTATAATGGAAATATGTTTTAACCGACAACAGCTCACCAGAGCTTCAGACCTCTAGGATCCCTCAGCTGAGATTCATATAACATTTCATATCCCCACCGTCCTGGCCTCTCTCCTTACTACAATCCCTATTTGTAAAGTGCGGCGAAGAAAACTCAACCCACGCCCTCGCTGAAGGCTTCTCACAACAGAGCTGTTTCCTCTTCACTCTAGCCCCCCTACCCCCAATTTCACTTTCTTGGCAGCTTTATCTCACCTTGGGGTTACTGTGACAACTCATGAATCTTTCCCAGATCCTGGGCCTGAGTCTCTTACCTGCCATCCTTGAGCAATGTGTCATTCGTAGCCAAGCGCTAGACTTTGCATTGGTCTCTATCATGGGCCAGGTTGCTTCCTAGTCTGTCAACATTGCTTTCGCTCATTATTCTTTCATCCAGTCTATTAGCTCCCTCACAGCCCCATGGCAGCCTGGAAATGTGATCAGCATGCTATCAATGTACTCACCCACACAGCTCTGAGAACAACAATGAAAAACACAATAAGACAGCAACCAGAGACTAAATGCAAACACAATGCTAACAGTCGGTCTGACAATGATAACAGCCCTGTCAGTGTCTCCAAAAATACACCAACTTGATACCCATTTGGACTGAACTCTTTCTAGTATTAGTGCCAGCAGGAGAAAAAGGCAGGATGCATCCCCCAGGAGCTAAAATTGCTGAAGAAGGAATGGTGACAGGAGGTCAACATATCCCGTGGGTCATTATTATGGCAGTTGTCAGTCTCCCCATTCAGGGTGTCCTACAATTGCAGCTTGTTAGGTCATGTGCAGCACAACACAAGTTGAAAAGAAGTCCTGGAGAGTTAAGAGCCTTGCTCTGAAAAGACTGTGTTTTATAGGATGCAGGCATCTGTTTCATAACAATAGAACATAGTCATGATTTATAAAGCAAAGCAAAGATATATTGTCTGCCATCCTAATAATATATGTTTTCATACTGGACATAATAAGCAGATCTGAAGTAAGGAGGTATCTGTAATACCAAGAATGAGGAGGGGATAATGAGAGAGAGAAAAAATAACAGGGAAAAGACAAATAAATTCTGAAAAAGCAACCAGAATAACTGCCTTTGCATTTCTCAAGATCTGATTTTTCATCTTGCCCACCACATTCAAGTTCATGTCTAACACTCGCACTGCCGCTGTTACTGCCATTACCACCAACCCCTTCACTGCCACTACTACCAACAACACCGTTATGGGCACTACCATCATCAACACTATCACTTCCTTACCACCATCCCCATGAATGAAATGTATGGTCTTCCCTGAGCACTGCCCCAGGTTCTCTATAGACAAGGAGAATTCTAATGTTAACTTTTAACACCACTTGGGCCTAAAATCAAAATAAAATTTTATTATTCTTAGATACAACTGGAAAGTTAAATTATAAAATGATAATAAAATTGAGTGTAGCTGAGGGCGTAACAAGGCAGGAGTTTTGGCGAACTGGCCGCCATTACTAAATGCATTTCCAGCACGAGGGACACAGGTGTGCGAGGCCAGGTGCTGAGGTACCTCCAGCCGCTCCTCTCGGGCTAAGGCTCTGACTACACAGCTAGGCTTGTTCACCTGCTGTCATTCTCTCGCCTGTAAAATTGGGAAGCTGGACTTGGTGGGAAGAGGACCTGGGGACAAGTGCCCCCTCTGCCCCAAACCAGCTGAACATCCTTAGACCAGCCACTGCTCTGTGGTCTCAACATCCTGCTCCGCTAATGGAAGGGAATGAGGTCTCTGGGTCCCCTCCAGCACCAATGCCCCTGCCTCAGTGAAAGGCCAAAATCCTCTTTCCTTCCTCCTCTGGGCATCGATGCCAAAGTGTAACCCAATGGTTTTGGTCAGAAAGCCCTCTACTGCTTAAATTATGGAAACCAAGTGGAAAAAACACACCAAATTTTGCTTTAAGTAGTGACCTTCCTTACTCGTGTTCATAGGGGGAAACATGAAGTTGACTATCAATGGGCTCAAGTTCCTGGAATTCCTGAGTCACCATAGACTATTGGAGAGATGTGGCCTTCCCATCCCCAGCTCCCAGCAGAGTGGAATTAAGCCAGGATGGAGAACAAGCTGGGACTTAGTGTCCAAGGCTGCAGAAATGAAAATCCCCTTGGAGATGTTCTCCTGTGTTCAGCAATTTATTCCTGCTGGGTGTTCAAAGGACAGTGCGATTTAAATGCAGTATCTGGCATCGTTGGTTTTCTTGGCTCTGTGCATGTTAAACCTGATATTTTTATTGACACACTAGAGGCCCAGGGCACGAATTCGTGCACAGGTGGGGTCCCTCAGCCTGGCCGGCAATTAAGGCCTATGAGGCTGGAGGGGGGGAGGGGGGGGGGGGAGGTCAGCCAGCCAGAGGGAGGGACCCTGGGAGGTTGGCCGGCCAGTGGAGAGGGGGGGGGGGGGGGAGGAGGGGCTATGAGAGGTTGACCGGCTGGGAGGAAGGGCCTCAGGAGGTAGGCTGTGGGAGCGCTCTGACCACCAGGGGGCAGCTCCTACGTTGAGCATCTGCACCCTGGTAGTCAGTGCACATTATAGCGACTGGTCAACCGTTGGTAAGGGTCACTTAGGCTTTTATATACATAGATTATTTTAAAGAGAGAGAGAGAGACAGCGACAGAGACAGAGATGCTCTCACCCCTCCTCTTTCCTTTCTCTCCATTAACGTGATTCTCTACCAAGTTATTCTTAGGATCTTGGGAGACTGCAAAATGTGATCCTTATTCATTGTCCATTGAACATTTACAGACACTGTTCTGAGCACTTTCCCTGTATTAAAGTCACATAGCACAGGGTACATAGGGATTGTTATTGTCCCGGTCTGTGTTTAGGGAGACTGAGGCCCAGCGAGGTCAGGGAGTCAAAGTCTGAGCTCCACAAACACAGTGGTCCACAGCCCTGGCTGGTCCCTACCCTTGAGAAGCCGATGTCTGAAGTGCACGGCCAGAAAATGAACAACAGAGCAAATGAGATACTTTCTGCAACAAATAAAAGCAGCGAAAAGAAGAAAGGGAGGAGATTAGTCCCCCTTGTCTAAGGTCACACAGCGCCTAATAGGTGTGAGGCTGGGCCTGGAACCAGCTCTCTGACTCTGGGCGACCTCTGGGCACCCATGTTGTTCTTCTCCTCAAAGAGGCTCATCTGTCATTCCAACATGGCTCTTTGGGGGAATTAAAGTGAATTGTCACTTTAATTCACTTTATGTAATTACTATACACTTTATGTATTACTATATGTAATAACTGGGTGAATGAGAATCCTCTTAGCTACATACATGCTTAAGCTCTGCAGGCAAAGGGGTGGGATTTCTAGTTCAAAGGTTTCACAAAAATCACCCTCAAAAGAAAAAAAAAGTATCCAAAATACAGATCCTTGTTCCTATGAAATTATTCCCAGAAAGATAAAACCTACGTAAACTTCTACCAGCGTCGAACCATCCAGTGCTAACCATGGATATAAATCTTTGACAATTCAGTGGCAGAAAGATGGCATCTTGCTGACTTCCTTTGCATTTTTAAAAATTATTAATACAGTTTTTCTTAATCCTTATCTTAAACTTGTCTCTGACTTTAAGAGAAAATTTTGTAAACTCAGCCTGTAGAGCATTCATAAAAGGGATAAGCACCACATATTTCTAACTTAATTACTACACCATTAAAAAGAGCTCCGCACAATGCCTCCGGAAATGGGCTTTTGTCTGAGAGACAGAGAAGAGTGTGTGTGGTTTCCTTTCCAAATCAGACAGCTGAACACGCGGCCAAGTTGTGTCCCAGAGCACAGGCTATCCCGTGTGCACCCACCCTGGGTGAAGACCTCCCAGGAGTGCCAGGCCCATGCCCAGGGCACTGTAAGGCTTTTGAGAAGAAACAAGGAACAGGTCTCCAGTTTGTATAACGGCTAATTTAAGATGTAGTAGCACAATAACACTTTTCACTTGAATAACCTTTAAGCTTCACTTTGAAAACAGCAGTAGCCATCTTGAGACATGTTTATGGTGAGTTCTCAGCACTCCACCAGTGGGGGTACAAAGCAAAATTCTAAAATAACTACTTATAAAGCTTAAATGAATTTAATTAGGCTGCTAAAAATGAAAAATTACTAAATTATAAACCACCATAGACATGATTAATTACATTTGCATTATGCACAAAGCACCGGAATGAAACCACCCCCCAGCTTGCTCCTCCCAGAGGTATGTGTTGTTGCCAAGAAGACAGCTCCCAGTGGAGGCAAACCTAGAGCCAGTGTCTGCAATCAAAGCGGGAGGGTTTGATCAGAAAGGTCCCCCGTGGCCTCTGTGGCCTTGTGACCACTGAGTGGCCCTCCTTCCTGGACCAGTCCCTGAAATCCCTCCCTGCAGGCTTCCTGGGTCAGATTCCAAGATTTCCCAGACACCAGGACCAGCCCTTCATCATTCCTTCCAGCCCCTCTGGAACCCCCACACAACGCTGTTTTTGATCTGTGCTGCCCAGCAGTCATTGTAGCAGGTGCTCACTAAGTAAGTGCTGAATGAGTGAACAGACAGTGGCAAAGTGAACTCTCCCTCTGGGAGATGAGAATGACAGACAAGAAGTTCATGACCCATGACGTGGGAAAGAGCAGATTATCAAAGAGTGTGGAGAGAGGATAAACCTAACTTAAACTTTGTAAAAAGGTAATGAAAAGGAACAAATTCTGAAAAGATACTCTCACCTATCAGCATTCAACGATGATAAGCAGAGGGCAGATGCAGACCAGGCCTCTTTCCTTTTATTGGGAATAAACATTTCACTAGAAATTCCCTGGCAGCCTTCTCCTGATTTGGTGCTATGGACGCCCACAACTGAAAGCAAACTGGGACAGTGAGGGCAGGGCTTGTTCAGCCTCTCTCAGCGGAAGTGGGCAAGGAAGAAGGGAGTTGGGAATAGTCAACAATGTTGGCCCCGTATCTTCTCAGTCATTTGTTCAACAGATATTTATTGAGTACCTGCTATGAGCCGATTGTCTGGGTGATGGGCTATAACAGTGACTAACAGACAAAATTCTAGGCCTCATGCAGTTTATGTTCTAACAGAGATCCAAACAATAAATGTAATTTAAAAAATAAATCGTATAGGAGGTTAAATAATATAATGGAGGGGAAGCATGGTGAGGAGGGCCAGAGGGTGGGATTGTGAGCCTACACAGAGAGGGAAGCCTCCAGGACAAGGTGATGCAGACTAAGGGGCTCCCCAGGAGGGCACCTGGGAAGAGCTTCACCAGCAGAGAGATAACAGGGCAACAGCTGGAACATGCTGGCACACCTTGGGCACAGCGAGAAGGCCAGTGTGACTGTGCAGATGGAGGCCAGGTCACCTGGGGCCCTGTAGTGTGATATGAGTCGTCAGGATGCGGGTCTGAGGAAATTGGGGCTCCTTGGGAGGATTTGGAGCAAAAGAGTGATAGAATCCAAGGTACACTTTTTAAATGGTTTGATTGAGATATATAATTTACATACAATAAAATTCACCCATTTAATGTATGCAACTCAATGATTGTTGGTATATTAAGAGGGAAGTGCAACCATCGTCACTATCTAACTTGAAAACATTTTCAGGCCTCCCCCAAAAGTGCATGCCCATTAGCAGTCACTCTCTCCTTCTCCCTCCAGCCCTGATCTCCTTTCTGTCTCTACGTGTTTGGCTCTTCTGGACATTTTACATAATGGCAATCATACAATGTGCGGCCTTTTGTGACTGGCTTCCTTCACTTAGCATAGTTTCAAGGTTCATCTATGTTGTATCACTTCTACATTTCTGTTTATTGTCAAAAAATATTCCATTGTATGAACATATCACATTTTCTCTATCTGCTCATAATGAGGAAGCCAGTTGATGGAGACTTGGGTTGTTTCAACTTTTTGGCCATAATAAATAATGCTACTATAAACATGCGTGTACAAGATTTTGTGTGGACGTATGTTTTCGGTTTGTTCTGGAGAACTGCCAAACTGTTTTCCAGGGCGGCTGCACCATTCTGAACTTCCACGGCAGTGTATGATGGTTCCATTTTCTCCACATACTCACCAATGCTTGCTGCTGCCTTTTTTTTTTTTTTAATTATAGTCATCTTAGTGGGTGTAAAATGGTATCTCATTGTAGTTTCGATTCGCATTTCTCTAATTATTAATAATGCTAAGCATCTTTTCATGTGCTCATTAGCCATTTGTATATCTTCTTTGAAGAAATGTCTATTCAAATCCTTGCCTATTTAAAAAATTGGGTTATTTGTCTTTTTATGACTTGTGTTTTAAAAGGCTTATTCTAACTGCTGTATTGAGATACCGTGTACAAAAAGGACACATTAATTTTGAAAAAGAAAAATTTGTTAAACATCTAAAAAAATACTAGAATCAAAGGAGCTGCATCCAAGTTTTGGCCCTCACAGTCCATCCTTGACCAGGTGTGGGTTCTTGACCAGGTGTAAGGCCCAGAAAACCACATCCTCTTTGAATCTCAGTCCTAATCTATAAAATAGAAATACTGGGCCCTAATTAGGACTTAGCACTGAGGGCAAGCTCGTAATGAGGAAACCAGGAGGCCGGGCCTTGCACATCATAGCACACAGTTTCAGTCTTGCGCATAGCAGAGAGAGATGGCTGCATTGCCCTGAAGTCCTGAGAGCCTCAGACACATCTGATGATACTGTGGGAACTGCATTCTGCCCACTGAGTGCCTGAGACCGAATCTAAGAAGAGGCATGGAAATGGGTGGTGTGTGGTTTGACCATTTCTAGGTAATATTGTTCTGGAATTGATGTTGAGTCTGGGCTCACCATTCCCAACAAAGGATCATAAAATATGAGGAAATGAACTAAGGGGGTCCGTGCATGAAAAATGACTGTAGAATATTCCTAAGGAAGGAAATCAGAAGGAAATACACTGTAATAGGGAAAGCTGCTGTAACCAAGGGCGCAACAATGCCGTGGCCTGTAAAAGAAGGAATTTTACTTCCCTCTCACATGACAGGGTCAAGATGCCTAGTGCAGGAGGTGGGCACCTCTCCATCCATTCACACTCCCACCTCTGACACTGTCACCGCAGCAGGGCTGATGCTGGGTGGACGGACAGACATGCAGGTTCCAGCCAGCAGGAAGGTTAGAGTGTGGAGGGCTCACTTCTGCTGCCACCCAGGCCCATGGCTGGTCCACATTGCTCCACTCAGGTTCCACGGCCAACAACCATGTCACCTGTTCACATCTAACTGCGGGTAAGACAGCCAAGGCCTGGC